GAACAAACGAAAATTGGAATTTTTTTTTTTTTTTTTTTTAATAAATAACGAACGGTAAAATTTAAATTTTTAATTTTAATTTTTTTGTTGTTTTTGTTTAGCTTATTCTTCTTGGTCTCGATTTTACGCGAGCTATCCGAGAAACATGAAAGATGCATTTTCGGTTAAAACCGTTCATCAGGGTCATTACGCAAAGAGTTTCGCACTTAGAGATACGCCGTCGGTTATTGTTAATTACGCGAGGGAAAAGAACTTGAACGTCAAAAGGTAAGAATGGTTTATTTAAGTCTTTTTATAATACTCTTTTTTTCTTTTTTCTTTTAATTGATTGACTTCGGTTTCCATTCCGGGGGGATTTAATCACAATTTTTTCTCTCTCTCCCTGGAACAATGATGATGATGATGATGATGATGATTTTGGATAAGAAAAGAAATTGATGTATTATTATTATTCAATGTGAATTTGAAATAATAATAATAATAATTTTTTGTGTTTTGATAATGATTTTGATGGGCCGTGATATTGCGGTCGGGGATCTTTTTTTTTTTCCGCCTTAATGGGGATTTGTGGCGGTGTGGATACATTTTATTTATCATCATCATCATCATCGTCGTCGTCGTCGTTTACACAAATGAAATTATTTACCTTTTTTTAATTAATTAATATACCGTCCGATGATTTGGTCGAAACGAAAAAAAAAAAAAAAAAAAAACCGTTTGGGGGGAGTCAGTCGTCAGTTTTGAATCGTTTCTTTTTTTTTTTTTTTAGAGGAAAAAAACTCGTTTGAATGTGTTTTTTTTTCGTACCTGTCGGCCATTTATAATAATTACGAAAAAAAAGAAAAAAAAAAAAAATCACGAGCGTCATACGTGCCGATTTTCATTTCCTATTTCATTCAATGATTTGATTTAATTAAATTATAGTTAATTTATTTTTTTTATTTTTTATTTTTTTCGACGGAGATTTTCTGGGAGTTGGAGAATGTCGGGTTGAAACGCGACGGCGGTATCGAATGTTTTATTATATGAATTGTTTGTTATTCCATCTCTCTCTCTCTCTCTCTCTCTCTTTCTCTCTCTCTCTCTCTATGTCTCTCTCTATTTAGAATAAATCGTTTCGTAAATTTTTTTTTTGTTTATAAAAACCACGATTCGATCATTTTGTGACTAATTTTTGTTTTTAAATAATTTTTTTTTGTCTTTTGAAAATATTTATAATTTTTCGAATTTGATTGGAAAACACTTAAACAATCACTTTTTCGTGACACGAAAAAAATTTCAAATCTCTCACGCTTAATCTTCCTCTCTCTCTCTCTCTCTCTCTCTCTCTCTCTCTCTTTCTCTTTTTTCCTTTCACGAAAAATTTTTTTTTTTTAAATTGGTAAATTAAAATATTTTTAATTCGATTCGTTTTTGTGTGTGTCTCTCTCTCTCTCTCTCTCTGTTTCTCTTCGTCCCCTCCTCCCTCCTCCGGTCCCTTGCTGCACTTCATTGTCACCACCACCACCACCAATCATTATTGCCGCAAACGAAAACGTTTTTTTTTTTTTTTATACCTTTTTGTACAACTTTATTAACATTTGTTTAGAAAGTGTTTTGGTTGTTGTTGTTGTTGTTGTTACCGTTGGCATTTATTAATTAAAAATTCCTTCTTTTTTTTATTTTGTCGTAAATGATTTTTATTTCGATTCTAACCGCGTTTCCCCCCCCCCCCCCGAATCCCCGCATAAATTTTAAAGTCGTCATTTTACACGTCACAATCACGATTTTATTCTTCGCCATTTATCAATTTGGCAATACGATCGTAATTCGCTTTACGTGAACCCCCCAAAAATCCAAACTCACGATAACCCGGATAAGACAAGAAAAAAAAGAAAAAAAAATCTTACACGTAATTATTAAATGAAAATTATTGCGTTAAACCGTAAAGACAAAAAAAAAAAAACAAAATTTTTTTTTAATTTGATTCATAATTTCACGGAGGGGTTAAAAAAAAATTTTTCCCGAAGACAAAATCCGTATGAATAAAAAAAAAAAAAAAAAAAACGGTTTGAATGGAATCGAAGGAGTAAAAAGAGAGAGAGAGATAGAGAGATAGAGAGAGAAAAGAGATATTATTGGACGTATGTGTTGTAAATTACAAAGAAGGTCTCGACCAATCCGAATTCCGTCCGCCGCAACTTAAATCCAATCATCCTTTTCCTTACAATCTATTGATTTGATTGCCAAAGGCTGGTCAAACCGTTTATAAATCACTCATTTGTAAAAGAATGGATGAAAGTTTGATCGATCGATCGATCGATCCATCGATTTATCGATTCATCGATCGATTCTCGATCCATCCGCATTCATCGTCGATGCGTATGATTTACAAAAAGTGTCGAAATCCTTTATAATAATTTGATATTTGAAAGGAGAGAGAGACAGAGAGAGAGAAGGAATTATTATTATTATTATTACTCTTTTTTTTTAAATGAAATGAGAGAGTATTTCATTAATGGGTACTCGGGTATCCAAAAAAAAAAAAAAAAAAACTACTATTTCTTCCGTTCTGTTTTTTTTTTTTTTTTTTGCTTCTTCCTCGGTCGGTTGTTTTACGCCTACGGTCGAAATTAAAAAAAGGAAAATTATATTAATGACGTATAAAATAAATTTATTACCATCGATTCATTTCTTATTTTTTTCTTTTCCAAATCGAGTTTTTTTTTTCTCTTTTGCGAAATTTTTAAAAAATTTTTCTTGGGTGAGAGAACCGCTCCCCGCGCGCGAGCCGCCCCCCATCCGCGCTCGAAATGAGTTCGGAATTTTTTTTTACGATTTTTTGATCGGCGAAAGATGTCCATTAATGAAGTCATCGTAAAGTATTAATTATAATAATTGTTAATCTCTTTGAATGTAACCGTTTTTCGTCTTGTTTCCCTCTGTCTTCATTTTCCTCTCTGTCGAACGAGAGCAAATTTAAAAAAAAAAAAAAAAAAAAGTTGCGCGACCGCAAAAAAAAAAAACAAAAAAACATTTTTAAATAATAAATTTTGATTTCGATCGAACGGGGAGAGGAAGGGAAATGGGGGGGGGGAGAGGAAACGTAAAATTCACATTCAATAAATTAAGAGGATTTTTTTTTTTAATTTTCTTGCGTGAAACCTGAAACCTGTCAAACGACGTTGTCGTTGTTTTTGTTGTTGTTGTTGTTGTTGCTCTCGTGAACAAATGACAAATGTCAATTTTTTTTTTTTTTTTCGGGTGTGTTTGTTGTTGTTGGAACCATTTTAACCGTCGGACGCATTAAAAAAAAAAAAAAAAATTAATCTTTTTTTTTTTTTTTTTTTAATTCCTATTAAATATTTTTTGTAGTAAAAACTAAAATGGAGAGCTACCTGATTTACCTGAATATTTTTTTTAAACGCATTAGTTAATTATCGGGAGATTAATAAAAAATTCTTTTAAATGATTTCCCCCTCCCCTCCCCCTCCCTCCCCCATTTATTCCCTTTTACGTCACGCTTTATTTCTCTCTCTCTCTCTCTCTCTCTCTCTCTCTCTCAGAAGAAAAAAAACAAAATCGTATGCGAAAGGGGTTTTGAGTGACGTCATCATCATACGTCACGGAGAGAAGAGTACGTTCAGAAATTTTCTACCCGGTTATATAGATTGGGAAAACTATTTTACGGCTCAGTAATTTCAAATTATTTTTAGTAATAAAAGTTTTTTTTTTTTTTATTATTATTGTTGTTGTTGTTGTTTAAGAGGTTGTTTGTTTGTTTGTTTGTTTGTTTTCTTTATTCAACTGTGATATTATTGATTATTGGATGAGGTATGATTTGAAGCCATTTAAAAATGAAATCACTTTTTTTTTATCGTCTGCTTTTGAGCCTGCGGTCAGGTCGATTTGATTTTCTTTTAAAATTGAAATGTTTTGTTTGGATTAAAGTTAATTTTCCAGGTTTTCGTTTTTTTTTTTTTTTTTTTTTTTTTATACTCGCATTTACGAAATGCACGTACGACGTATTGAGTTTTGTTGAGAGATTCGGTTGTTGAGTTGTTTGTCGTTTGTATTCGAAAGGGAAGCGAAAGGAAAGGTTTACTAAGGTTGAGAGACGTTGAACCTTTTGCAACTCCATCGTCTTGGGACAGTTCGTGGTGGTGGTTCATTCATTTTCATAATAATAAAATGTCTTCTGCTTTTTTTTTTTTTGTTTTGATTTCTTAACGCGGAAAAGGTTTTCGAGTTTGTTAGAGAGAGAGAGAGAGAGAGAGAGAGAGAGAATAAAAATTTGAAAAACGAAAAATGATAAGGAGAGAGATAGATAGGAGTAAAGAAATTGTTTTCGTTTATTTTTAAATCAGTGGCGTAACGAGGATGTCAGAGTCCATTTGATTTGTTAAGACGATTTACATAAATTAATTCAATTAAATATTTTTTTTCCTCTTCTCTCTCTCTCTCTCTCTTCTATTTCAGAATCGTATTAATTTATACGTTTTATTTAATAGTTGAAATTCGTTTTTATGTTTTCTCGTCTTCTGCTTCTTCTTTTTAATGGTTCCAGTACTCGATTTTATCTAATTGCTGGCATTTAAGGAAGTTTAATTTACATATTCTTATCGTCGTCGTCGTCGTCGTCGTATAATTCTAACGTTTTTTTTTTTTTTTCGTTGTTGTTTGTTCAGATGGTCGGTTTGGGTTTCTTTAAACGACAGCAAAAATGAATAATATTTAATAAACGTTTTAAAATGATTTTTTTTTTAATTTGAAAAGAATGGCGGATAGGTGATGGTGGTGTTGGTGGTAATAGTAGTGGTGGTGGTAGTAAGGAGAAGATGACGGGTAGTAAAGAGAAATGAAAGGGGGTAAAATGAGAATAAGAAGAAGAAGAAGAGTGAGAAGAATCACGATATATATATAATTAATCATCATTTCATTTTTTGAAGATGAGGTTTAGAATCATTTCAATGTCGGGGACATTCGTTCAATTCAATTTCCGAGTTGTATCAAACCATGAAAAAACAAAAGATAATTACACGTCGGACAAAACGAACGGACGGACGGACGGACGGACGGATATATACGTATATAATTGAATCGAAAATGATTTTTATAAATTTTTTTTTTTTTCTTTTTTACACGTTTAATAATAAATGAAAAAAAAAAAAAAAAAAAGTGTGTGTAAGTTTGGAGAGTGCGTGCACGCACTCACGCATGCACACACTCACGCACTCACGCAAAAAACGCGGACCCACACACAAAACATGGACAAAAAATTTAAAAAAATTT